AAAAGTTCATGGAAAAACAGAATTAAAAGGCAATACAAATCTTTCTATGAGCTTTTTGAAGGCCCCTCATACATCTTTTGGGAGTCTTCAGCTCTCTGCCATTTAAGGCCAAAGGATGTTGAGGATCACCGATGGAGTGCATGGAGACGGGGAGGATATCTGGGACTGAACCCTGGGGTACGCTGGTGCTTAGTGGTGGAGAAAATGAGGAAGAACTAACAAGAGAGAAGGGAAACAGGCCAGAGAAATAGGAAGAGAACCAAGAGAAAGTGTTTCCCAGAGGCCAAGCAGGGAAAATGTTTCATGAAAGCGAAGGGTGTCAACTGCTCAAATGCTGCTGATCTGTCAGACCAGGGAATTGAGGACTGAGAAACGATCAGGGATGTGGTGACACAGAGGTGACCTTGCCATGAGTGGATGCAGTGGAGATGGAGACTGAATGGAGTGGCTCAAGAGCAAATGGGACAAGAGGAAGTGGACAGCTTCTGCTGGAAGAGGAAAGAGAAAATGAGCTGTAGTAGCTAAAAGAAGCTGTAGGGTCAGGAGAGATTTGTACCTTTTAAAAATACATATGTTTGATGATCTAAAAAAAAATATATATATATATGTATATATATTTTGTGTGTGTGACCGGTCGCACCACGCTCAGCCAGTGAGCGCTGTGAGTGCACTGGTCATCCCTATATAGGATCCGAACCCACGGCGGGAGCGCGGCTGCGCTCCCAGTGCCGCACCCTCCCAAGTGCACCACGGGCTCGGCCCTAAAAAATATTTTGACACTGTGTTTGTTGATGATGATAATGAATCAAGAGAGAATGGGGACAGAAATGATGTCCTTGTAGGGCAAATGGGGCTGCAGGTAGGGAGCTAAGGGAGGCGGGCCTTGGGAAGNTCCCTTCCAGGCAGAGGCACAGCAAGGGACAGACACAAGGCAAGAGTAAACTTGGTCCACGCGCAAAGAACAGCAAGGAAGCCAGCGTGGCGGGAGGGAAGTGAATGAGGAGGAGAGAGGAGGCAGAGTAGAGCCGTCTCAGACCACATCGAGCGTTGTAGCCCTTACGGAGGACTTTATATTTTCCTCTGAATGAGACGGGAAGCCCCTGAAAGAATTTAAGCAGAGGTAATATATTTGACATTCATTTCTGAAAAATCATTCTGGCTGAGGTGAAGTGAATAGGCAGGAGGGGAATGGAGAACAAGCAGGGAAACCATGCGAGAAGTGACTTCAGTCACCCACATGAGCAGTGACGGTGGCTTGGATGTGGGTGAGGGTGACGGAGGTGGTGAGATGTGGTCCAAGTGGGAAGGAGTCTACAAGCAGAGCTAATAAAATTCGATTGCAGTCTAGATTTGGCATGTTAGAGACAAAGAGGAGTCGGGTAGATGCAAAGATTGGTCTGAGCAACTGGAAGAATGAAATTGTCATTTATTGAGTTGATGACAGCTGAGGGAGGAGCAGGTTTCAGGGGTAAGATCAGGAGTTTGTTTGCACACATATAAGTTAGAGAGGCTTGTTAGGCATCCAAGTGGAGATCTTGAGGTGGCAGTTGTGTAAGTCTGGAGTTCCAAGGAGAAGCGTGGAATGGATCTACAAGGGTACTTCAAAAAGTTCATGGAAAAACAGAATTAAAAGGCAATACAAATCTTTCTATGAGCTTTTTGAAGGCCCCTCATACATCTTTTGGGAGTCTTCAGCTCTCTGCCATTTAAGGCCAAAGGATGTTGAGGATCACCGATGGAGTGCATGGAGACGGGGAGGATATCTGGGACTGAACCC